TCTCTCTCTCTCTCTCTCTCTCTCTCTCTCTCTCTCCTCAAGTTCATTCAGTTTTTTTTGCAATTCGTCGACATTATGGTTTCTCGTTAATTTGTACATCGAAATTGGCCAGGATTGTAACATTGGTACCAGAGCGGATTCTACTTGCTGGCGAGAGTTGACCTTGCCGCCATTACCCTAACCTAAGTGGTGAGGGCTAACCACTTAGGGTTAGGGTCGGAAGTTAGGGTTAAGTGGGGCAGCGGGGTACTGGATGCTGCCCCACCTGGTTGGGCCGTGTAGGGTCAGCAGATGACCTGGCCAGGTTGTTGGAATGCATAATTGTGGTGGCGAGACACAAGGTGGGACTTCGTGATGCAATTTGAGAGAGGTGACAGTGATGGGCACCTACAACTGGAATCTGGACTTCAAGGAAGAAAAGGAGCGACTTTAGGGATCCCCTCAAGTTGGCAACCATATCTGCACCAACGGACTGCAAGTTGCTACTCTGATCTTCAACATCGACGGGGGATCCGGCGTTGTACTTTGGGGTAGAAGTTTACCGTCCTAGGTGATAGGACACTAGTGTAGATGATGCTAATTGGGTCAGGAGGACTATGTGAGAGGGGGTTGAGTTTCATTTCATCCCAAAAGCCCGGCCACTCAGGTAAGTGACGTGCCACAAGGGTGCACATGCATGTGTGCATGGAATTGACTGCCTGATGGGGTATTCTGGGTTCATCTCCCATCCTCTATGGTCTTGATGTTGTGTTGAAGTGTGTGAACTGCTTTCTCACCTGATGAGTGAACGGATGGAGTATCTTGTGCGCAATGCCATATCTTTCTACAGTGCTTTATTTATTTCATTCTGAACAGCTGTAGTCTGTAGGTTCTTTCTGAAGTTGAAATTCGTTTTTCAGTACGGTAGGGACAGAAAATAGGTCTTTGTGGAACTCTTGTTGGTTGGGACACAGTCTTGACTCAACTGAGACCCTTTTGGACCCAGTGGGACTGGGCCCAAACAAGAAGGACCCCTCACGCCCAAATCTGTTGACGACAGTCACCTTGGTCTAGCTGGCTGAGCCTCAGAGTTCATGCTTTCGGACCTGGACACTCGCTGCTGAGGGGATCTCGGCTGAGACGTTTCACAGACTTTACCGCACAGTCCGCCACTTGACTCGCACCTTAGACACCACTCAATTCTCTCTTGCATTGTGTAGTACACTTTGAATTTGATCTGTTGTGCTTCCACAGAACTTAGTCTGGCTAGGCTTGATGGGATCTCATACGTAGTCGGACTAGACTGTGTTGCTGAATCAGATATCTCTGTTATTTGCTTTTTTTTTTTTTTTTTTTTTTTTTTGACTGCTCTCCAGTCTTAATGAATTGCCCTCCGGCTAGGAGTTCTACCTTCTCTTCTGATTTTTTTTAATTTCAACAGCATGAAGCAACATTTCTTTGTCTTCTTTGATCTAACTTTGGTTGCCAATTGCAACTTGCAATCGAATTATTTTTATCAACATTTGTGGACTGCAATTTTTACTTATACAATCTCTGATCAAATTTTCCAACCGATATTCCCCTCTCTGCCATTTCTGACAATTTGTGTGACTGTCTCTCTTGGCTACCACAGCGCCGCCTCCCATTGTTCAGCAAGCTGTGTACTTTCTCCGAGCTCAGGATGCTTTCAACTGCGCCCGATGACAACAACGACAAAGCGGACCGTTGACCAAACAACATTGTCTCGCTGCAGCGCAGCTCTCTCCGACTGCCATCCAACGGTAGGGGACAAACAACAGACAAAGACAAAAGGCGCACGGCGCGTGCGCGCGCGCGCGCGCGCGCGCGCGCGCGAGAGAGAGAGAGAGAGAGAGAGAGAGAGATGAACTGAGTTCTCAAGGCGGGCGGCCGAGGACAAAGAGCAGACAAAGAGAAAGACAAAGAGAGAGAGAGAGAGAGAGGACATGGAGAGAGAGGGAAAGAGAGAGACACAGATCTTTCCTTGGTTGCTGTGACATTCTGTTCGGTCACAATGAGAGAGAGAGAGAGAAAGAGAGAGAGAGAGAGAGAGAGAGAGAGAGAGAGAGAGAGAGAGAGAGAGAGAGAGAGAGAGATTGCTCTCTTGACTGAGTTCTCTGCTTTCATTGCTGTGACATTCTCCTCTGTCGACCGCCCTTGCTCTCCTGCCCGCCCCCAACGCCCCTCTCTTCTGCCGCGGGCGTAGTCATGGCGGGTCCACTTTTTCTACATAAAAAAAAAAAATCAGCTCCGGAGGTACAGTCAGCTCGAGTCCACAGATAGCTTAAAAAGAAAAGTCAGCTCAAAACGCATAGTCAGCTATACAGTCAGCTCAAACAGAACAGTCAGTGCTCTATCTTGTAAATATGTGCCACAGTGAGTCCTCAGACCTATCCAGATCAAATGATGCTTACCTTCTTGACCTGTTTTGTTGCCTCCTCAACTGCAAACTGTCCAACGCGTTGAAACTCCTTCGATGGTGTTTTCTTCCTCTCTCTGACCTGTACATCTTCCTCTTGGACAACTCGATTTGCCGGATGCAAGACACTTCCCCTTTGCTCAGGCTGCAACTGCGGCTTTGCAATCACCAACTTCTCAACCTTTGCAGTCGCCTGTATTCACACTGGTACCAGTTGTCAGACATCTTTCTTTAACCTTTTCTTGTTAGAACCGTCCATGTTGCTGCCCTTTCATTAATTTGTTGTGTGCGCCCGTCTTCTGCACCACAACCCCAGTCACTTTGCTCCCTTTATCCTTCCATTAATGGGGGTAATCTTACCGCCATAACACCCAGCCAAACACCCACACAACAAGCAGCAGCAGTGCCAGCAGGAGGAGGATGTGTACGCCCGAGGCATTGATGGTGTAAGCCACAGCAGCAACTGAGACTGATGGCATAAACTGCAGCATCCTTTGTCATGCTCCTAGGATTCTTTACGAAGGTGGCTTAGAAGGTCACGCTCACTTACCTCAGTACTTGGCGAGAGAGATGAAGAGAGAGAGAGAGATTGTTTGGGAGGCTAGTTCACACCGTAATTTACTTCGCCATTTCAGCCAAGACTTGGCCACATTCTGTTCTGTGGTTTGTTCTTTGTGCTCTTTCTCAAGTCTCTCTCAACAGTCTGGAAATTCAGGTTAGGAAGGACTGCACCAACAGTGTTGCCTTTTGGAACAATGGTGTTCTTCTGTGTGAGATTCGGTTCTAGGAACAAGCATATGGGCCTGTTTTAAAAACAAATCAAAAGGGACAAGATGAGTATGCAAAGGATGTGTGTGTTTGCAGCGTAACTTGTACTTTGCAGCCATGCTTCATCCACTCAAAGAAAAAGAAAAAGGAAAGAAAAAAAAGAGAGCTTTATCCAGTCATCGTCCAGAACATAAACACCCCGCCCATGTGGCTGAATGGTACACACATGTAACTGTTCGTAAACAGATCATGAGTTTGAATCTTGATGGAACCAGATGAATACGATAATGTTATATTAAACCACTACTACCTCGCTAACTCTTGGGAAAAATGGAAAAACTGGCAGTTTTGAATTTTCCCATTTTTCCCAAACTTTTTGAGGATCGGACGAGGCTCGGCAGTTGGGCCTTGTGGGCCCGTTCGAAAATAACAAGAAAAACAAAAAGACCATGTCGGGGGAAGGTCATGCACGAAGTTGTGCTCACACCAAAACTCACAAGAAAGTATCTAACTACTATTGTGGCCAGTTTCAGGGTCTTTTTCTTTTCTTTTTTTTTTTTTAGCTGCCTTCTCCTCATCGGGGGACAAACATATATTTTTCTCTCACCTCACATATTTTGAACCAGCATTCTGCCATGTCATGGAACATATCTTTCTTTCAATACCTACCTACCACTACTCCTAAGGGTATACAGGGGGCCCCTGCAAGCATAGCTTTCTACCTCTCTTCGGTGAAGGGAGGTTACCTCTCTCGGTGGAGAGGTAACGGCATGTTTGCCCCTTTGCCCTAGCGTTTAGGGTGTAGGGTTGGGGCCGTCGGTGGGGACCGAGCATTTGCCAGTAACTGTGCCTCCCTTTTCATCTTCCCCCACCCCGATCGAGTAACAGTAGTGTCTAAAGCCAACTCTCCCACACACCACACGCAGCCCACTCACACTCGCACTCACACCCGTGTTGGCTGAAGACCTTACTGATACCGACTGGGAGGATCCAGCTGACTATCTCAGTTGGTTGGCACCAAGAATGCCACAGGCGGCCATGGGGATTGAACCCACAATTTCCTGAATGCCACTTGCATGCCTAACCAATTGAGCAAGGTCGCTGGATAGTTTTCAGGTTCTCGTTGTTTGTGTTTTTGTTTTCTTTCTTTTTTTTTGTTTTGGTGCCCTGCCAGGGAGGCACGGCGCAGTCCACGGGTTGCTGACACTTTGTGGAGGAGGGCATGCCCACACTACTACTTTGCAGAATGTATGAACCCACTTTCCCACCCTAAGTTCAGTTACTTTTTTTTCTTCTTTTTTCTTCTTCTGTGGACCTGACACCCCTGCCGTAATGCCCTCACTGGGGGCATACTCACACAAACTACTTTGGGTAGGTATCTACCTGGTATCAGGTCCAAAGGGGCGTTTGTTTTTACTCTTTTTCTTTTCTGTGGATGGGAGCGAATGCCGTGCTTGTTCGTTTTTTGAAAGTCTGGCAGTGGTTTCCCTTCCCCCCCCCCCCCCCCCAAAAAAAAAAAAAAAAAAAAAAAAAAAA